AAAAATAATAGGAGCTACTTAAGGATTGCCTAATTAAAGAATGCTTGCCATCGAGGGGCTCTCTCTGTCTATGGGCGAGGATTAAAGAACTGCTTAAAAATAGTAAATTATTACAGTATTATTTTATAATATGAAATTGGATATAAATTAGTGAAATCATTAAAAAAAATCTATAAATAGTTACATGAAATTCGACTGCTAAAAAGATTAAATGAAATTAAACTATACAGGAGGCCGCTAAATGTATTATACAATATTATACACAGGAACGCACATCATGTTAGACACAGAACGCGCATCGCGTATGAAACAAAATGGCTTCTAAATTCTCAATGTCGCAACTCTTTCTATCTATGGCTCTGCGTCAGAGTATGTTATACTGCCCCACAGTGGGCAGGGCGAAATCAAAGTCCATTTTGGTGACTATGGCTTTTACACTTTTTTTCACATGATTGAAGAAGGTTATACTCTGGTGAATCTATCCTGAAAATATTTTAAATTTAAACAAATTCTAGAGGTGGGTGTTTTCAACAAATGTCAGAAATTTCTCTATAAATATTTCAAATGCTATAATTGACTACATTATACCAAAACACTTTTTTTTTCTTACGGAAAATTCAGAATTATTTCAAAATGTACACATTTTTTGTATATAAATTGCAGAACACAAATATATGTTTTGGTTTAAATTTGAAGTTTGCATAAATAATAAATCGTCCTTTAAACAACTGAAAAAATATTTAAAAATCTATTTTTAGAAAAGTAGGAGAGAAAGCTCAGATTCACGTGGATTTATGCATTAATTTTTACCTCACCATCTTCAGTATCGTCTTAGCTTTATGATGGTACCAAATTTAGCTGCAGCTTTTTGCAACTTCGCAAGCTAGACACACTTTTATCAATCTTGTTTTCATACATTTGAGGCGCAATTTAATTAGAGTAAACCACAATCACGGAAAACGCGCGTCTACTCAACCAGTTCATGCAAAGGGAAAAACACTCTCCAAAAATTGAAAAACAGTAGCAAATCTTCCAATATTTTGTTGCTGTTTAGAATAATTTTATTAAACTTTGAGCAGTCTAATAATCCAAATATTATGATGATGAAATCTAGACATCAATTGTTTTTAACTTTATTGGAAGACATCCAAGAATGAAAAGCAGCTCCCTGTTTCAACTACGCCAGTAATAACGACCTAACAGTAAACGATATGATAACATGACAATAAAGTTACAGTTTTGTGTTAAAAACTTTATTTTGTAGAACCATAAATGTGTACCAACATAATTTCACACGTTTGCGATGAACATTGTAAGTTAGTAAACACATGTTTGCTTGGTTTCTACAAAAAAATACTCGTGGCTTGACAACAGGATTCCATTTTCTGATGAAGTTATTATTGTTTTGACACAGAACAGAGATATTCCTTCCACACCAGCAGAAAACCCACAAGAGACTTAAAAACAACCCAAACCTGCACGTTCTATCGAAGTATGGGAGGATCTTTCAGAGAGTTTGCAAAAGAGTAAATTAGAAGAGAATTGTGACACAAAATGAACACACTGACTTCTTTATCCAGAATTGCAAGGGGGTTAAAAAAGAATAAGTTTTATTTCTCCCCGACGAATGGTACTGTAGTTCCCCCGCCCCGGTTTTTGATTTCCATTTCGATTTAACATTTTTATGTTGGCCTATGCCTAAAATAATTTTGGCCCTGTCCAATTAGAAAAATGTATTTTGATGACATCAGAGAAAATACAAAATGTTCCCACAGAAATTCTTTTGTCCCAAACATCCTAATACATACCAAACCTCCCAAAAGCTGGTTAAATTACTTCTTTCACCTAAACTGATTTTTCACTTTTGCTCCCAGAGATTTAAAGACTATTACTGTCATATTAAGTGTACTTTTACTCTTCAAGAGATTCACAAGGACTTTTATCCTCAATGAAATGAAGCATGTTAATCCTCGGAATAGCACTGGTCTGGACGGTATTCCACCCAGATTCATAAGAGATGCTGCTGATTATATCAGCAGCCCCATAACACACATAATCAATACTTCCTTAAAAATGGAGCAAGTCCCTGATATGCTCAAACAAGAAAAATTCAAACCTTTATATAAATAGAAAAATAAATTTTCACCTGGTAACTACAGACCTCCCAAGAAATTTGCGTGTTTCCCAGATTTTTATGGAGGATCCCCGCTTCCCAAAATTTTTACAGTTTTTCCCAGAAAATATAGAATTGTCATTGTGAATATTGAAATGGCACCTTTTCTCTTCCAAATAATTAGGTTACTTATAATTTAAACAACGTATGGCTTTGCACCACCACCTAAGTTCAATAAAACCTGAAAATGACTTACTTTGCCTATTTTTTGCACTTACAAAAAGAGGACTCATTATTATTTTTGTTAAATATTTGTAATGGCTTTTGGTAACGGCATGACACGCGTTAAATTAATATGTCATCCATGTATTCAATAAACCAAAGAAAAATCCCTAGAAATTTCACTTCAATTAACGACAAATTACCCAGAAATTTCACTTCACCAACTTGGGACCTCTGTAACTACCGTCCAATCAGTGTTCTTCCAACAATCTCCAAAATTCTCGAGAAATCTGTGTTAATTCAGCTTAATGAATATTTAGAAAGCAACGATTTATTGTATACATTTGAGTCAGGGTTCAGAGGGGTTTTGTCAACTGACACTTGTCTCATTTATATTGAGGACTACATTCAAAAGCAAATTTCCGCAGGAAACTTTGTCGGTATGGCTCTATTGGATATTCAGAAGGCATTCGACAGCGTTGATCATGTTGTTTTGTGTGGCAAGTTAGAAGCTCTTATTGTCCTTTCTATCAACTGGTTCTGCTTCTATCTTCACTATTGACAACTTGTCTATGACCAGTTGTCGATGTCAACAACCTGAGATCGGACGGTATGGAGCTTACCAGTGGAGTTCCACAGGGGAGCCTGTTAAACCCAATTCTCTTCCTTTGCTACATGAACGACATGTGAAATGCTGTTGAATGCCTTCTGTTACAATACGAGGGTGACAATGTCTTGTTAGTAGGTCATAAGGACCTGAAAATTATCAGGTCAAGGTTAAGTCCAAACCTTAATAATTACCATCAATGGCTAGTTGACAATTCCATGTCTTTACATCCTGAAAAAAATGAGTATTATTTTCTCATCTAGGAAAAAAGATTTGATTCTGAAAACTGTAGTATCTTTTGCAATGGTCAAGAAATACAATGTAGTGACTCCATCACATACCTTGGTTTGGAACTTTGAATGGAGAAGCTATTGCATTGTCTATTCTCAGAAAGGTTAATTCCAGACTAAAATTCTTATACCATCAGGGAGCGTATTTTAATTCAAAAACATAGTAAACATGAAAGCTGCAAATGTATCTAATTAAAATTATCATTGCTCATTAATCGTAAAAAAATTGCTCATTACACATGAACCATATTTAATCATACTGTACTTGATAAAACAATTTTAGACAGTCTTAATAATAAAATTCTTTGTGTTTTAATTTAATTTTTGTATTCACCTTAGACTCACTTTTTTTAAAAGTTTTTACACTTGTACAATTTTTACTTAGATTGTCCGCTGCCAAAATGGAGTCCCCCTGAATGTGAGATTGATTGTCCTGTGTGTTATAACGGTGGAGTTTGTGACGACAAGACCGGTCTATGTATTTGCCCCGCAGGCTTCAAAGGAGAATACTGCCAAACATGTAAGCCAACAAACTTAAATTTAATTTAATTCAATTTACCTTTAAGTACTTGGAAACACATGTTTCTGTATATTTATATATTTCAATAGTAAATATATGAGAAATCAATAAAGTCATCAGCCTAAAATTGTAAGTGGTTTTTCATAAAATATGTTATGTTTCTGTATTTACGGTTTATACTTTCTTTTTGTTCGTGTAGCATGTGGAAGCAACAACTGGGGTCGTAATTGTGATGTTGTTTGTTCTATTGGAGATGATGAAGGTTGTAAAGGAAAGCTTTTTTGTCCCCCTGATCCTTTCGGATGCACCTGCATCGACGGATACGGAGGCAACGATTGCAATACAGGTTCGAGAAGTTTTTGGCCACTGTTTATAACTATTTTGTTCTTTTTGTTTATAATGATGTCAATATTACAGTATATTACTGGATATTGCGTATACAGGCTTTATTTTATTTTCGCTGTTGAACCTATAAAACGTGAAAGTGTGATGAGTCATTCCAAAAATCAGCACAATGGAATTGAAAACTCATGAATGAAGGAAGACAATTGTATAAAAATGCCTTGCACAGGCCCAGGACACAAACAAGTAACAGCAAGAAGGTTGTACTCTGCATATTTTAATTAAACAAGGTAAACAAAGACTGTCGCTCATATCGTATGTTCATACAAGATTAAATATATGGTACTAATTGACAAACAATGTGATTTCCCCAAAATGTACTATTTCACAGCATGTGCTAACAATCACTATGGAGCAGATTGCCGTCAAGTATGTCACTGCGATTCAGGAGGATGTGACGGAAAGACAGGGGATTGTACATCTGGGTCATCTTGTACGAATAATTACATGGGACCAGCGTGTCAAGGTAATATTCAGATTTTACTTGTCAAATTTTATGAGTAATAGTATATTTATTTTGTATAAAAACAAAGCTTATTTTATTATTCTTACTAATCTACTAATCTTACTAATACTAATCTACATATAGGCAACAAAGGTAATTAAATATTTTAATTATACTGTACCTTGCATCCAAAATAAACTACTGTATTACAATAAGCATATTCTAATATTCCTATTTAAAGTACTTAATTTACATTGCTAAAAATGTACGGCCAGGCTACATTAAAATTTCTTTTGTTTAACCTCTGACCACCAATAATTTGTAAGGACTTGAAGGATTTGTTTTTTAATAGAGGGTAACCCAGTTTACCAAGTAGGCACGTTGATATTCATGAGCCATCTTAAAAATGGAAAAGGAACATGATTCCTTCTAAACAGTCACATTATGAGGATTTAGGGAGTGCAATAGTTAAATACAATAAATAAAAACAAAGTGAATGTGTAGTGACTGTCTATTATGCTTACGATTCATTTAGTAATTGTGTGCAAATTGTTGATTTTCAATAAAAAAATACCTAGTCGGCCCTAAATTGAAGGGGACGCTAAGGAAAAACACATGATTTCATCCTTTCTACAAAGTAAAAACATAGGCTTTGAGGGAGGAGAGGTTGACCACCATCTAGTCATATGTACTCTTTCATGAAAAAGATAAAAATATAATCTTATGCTACATATTTCTTTAAACATTTCTTTCATAGGAGAGAGGGTCAGAAAAAATCCTGTTTATAGAAAAAAATAATGAATGACTTCTAAACAAATATTTGTTTATAGTCACGTAATTTAAAAGTGTTATTTTGTTAATTTATTAGGGCCTATTTTAAAAAGAATTGAGAATTTTTTAATTTTTTTTTTTAATTTTTAGGACAGGAATATTATCAAATCGAATAATTCAAAATACTAGTTCATGTGATACTAATAGTACCGGTAATAATTCAAGAGTTACTTTTGGCTTCACTAATACCTTTTGACTCAACATTTAAAGATAATAATGATATCGCATTTTGTTGTAGAATTATTGCCAGGCCTGTCCTGTCCATCTGGTTTCTTTGGTGTGTTGTGTAACTATCCTTGTCATTGCAAAGACTCAGCTGATTGTAATCGTAATGGAAGCTGTGACAATGGATGCCACAAAGCATGGGCTGGAGAGGACTGCAGCATAGGTAACATACACGTCTTCAAATTTACTTTGAATTGTGTTAAATTGAGCTTAAATCTTGATTTTGTATAATCGTAATGCAATTTCCAAGATTAAGCAATGAAAGAGAATTGTTTCCTGTAAAGCCGCATTTATACCTATAAAAAATACATTAAGTGTATCTTTCACCACCCTAATATATTCAGAATAAATATTATAACAAGTGCTCTTTCTTATTAGCACTACCTTACAGTTCCAAACCGCCAACACCTTCGAACCAAACAGCAACTACCATACATATACCCTGTAGCTGGGATCCTCTTCGAGACTTTGGAACAGGAACTATTACCGGATGTAAGTTATGGTATGATACTTCATCGACAAGTACATTCACTTCTGTTGATATCATTGCCAATGGTGTATATATCATCGACAATCTTGCACTGCACACAACTGTTGAATTCTACGTACAATACTCGAGATTAGTTGGCGGCGTAGAGACCTATGGACCACCTAGTGAACATGGATCAGCAGAGACTATATGCTCAAGTAAGCCCACTTATTTGCTGATCTTTATTGGCTTTTCCAAAGCCATTGTTTTTGTTTGATTTTTTCCTGTTTTCTTATCTTTCTGCACAGGGATTCTACCAGGATCTTTGGTCACTTTCCATGCTTGTAAAGCAAAGATATGCATATTAAAAAGTGATGTCATTCTATATATTTTGAATATTAATAAAAACAGCTGATTGAAGTTTTAACTAATGCAATGCAATTTAGCATAAAATCTAAGGACCATGGGACCATGTACGTGTAAAAATATTGATATGTGCAACTGAGTTCTTGTATCTCACAATGATCATTTACATTTTATAGAAAACATGATAGGTTTTAGTAATGTGTATTAATGTTGTTTATATTTTCATTTATACAATAATTGTTTCTTTTCTTAAAGAGCCTTTAGAATCTCCAGAAATAGAATTGAAAAAAGTTGATGGTAATGATATTATCTTGATGTTGAAGGTGAGTAAGCATATTTAATTTTCTATTTCAATTACAACCTCCATTTTGATTTTGGCATGATCTCACAATCAATCAAAACAACTGGCAAGTCAAAGATGTGATTTACTGAAAATTAAATAATTTTAAATTAAGATATTAATGACAGTTATTAAGCCTTTCATATCTTTTTTTTTTCGTAAAGCCTGTATCAAATGCTCCTGAGCAAATCCATTGCGATGATATACTTCGTTATCAAGTGCGATACCAAAACAAAGATGGAAGTAAACAAGTAATTGTCAACACAACTGACGGTTTACAATTAGAAGTCAAGATGTCGGGATTATCACCAGGATGTGTTTTTTATCAAGTCGACTCTAGAGTTGTTAATAACGCAGAAATTACTGGAGACTGGGGAAAGCCAATATCGATACAATCAGCACCATCAGGTTAATGTTTTGCTTTTTCTAAGGTTAGGTGTTTTTTCATGTTAGTACTTAGCGTCTTTCCTCATACATTACTTATCTAATTTTCTTACTGCCCCATGATCCTGCAAACAACATAAAATTAGGCGTTAAAAAAAAGGATAATAATAATATAAAATAATATTGTATTTATATTGAGAACACTTTCGACCTATCAGACGCTTCTCGGTTCAGGAACCGGAGTGCCGTGTTACAGAAGTACTGTAATTCTATAGGTGTTGACACCCCAGTAAGATTAGCATTAGTCTCGTATGTAATTTTTGTTTCCCCACTTGTCTTTGAGGTTTAGTCCAGCTTAATTCTCTTTATCTGATTCATTAAGTTTGACGTAAACACCGGATCTTCTTGATAAGTCTTCAATACCTTACCTTTCTTTGTATAGTGTACAAGTGTTGGTAGAGAATGGATGATGTTTCTTTATTTCTCATTTTTGTTTGGTTTTCCTTTATTCTTCTCTAATGCTCCTAGCTTTCTCTCCGCAACATATTTTCTAGAACACGAGGTGCATTTTATTGCATGTACAACTATCTTTATGTAGTTCATTCATTCATTCATTCATTCATTCTGTTTTTATTATCAAAACTCATAGCAGTATAATATAACTGAATTGAGCGTAGATTTATAACATGTACAAAATACAAGATTATTAAAAGATAAAATATTAAAATGCAAGAAGCGAGAAAATCAAAACACAGAGAAAAGGACTGACACAGGAGAAAAAAAAAATCAGCAACTATTAGAATCGCGACAAAACATACATTCGGAAAAGGACAAACAAAAATGACAATAGCGTAATATTCACACCAAAATCGATTAATAATAATAATAACTTTATTTATCCACGGATACTCATTTCAATCTTTTTACAAAGGTTGGTCTTCCAAGAGGCCGTGTACTTAAACTACTGATATGATAAAAGAAAGGGAAAACAAACATGGAAAAGTAAAAACCTACCAACTGTAAAAATTAGGAACTAAATGCTACTTTTAAACAATTTCAAATTTGAAATAATAAAATCTGCGGTTTCAAAAACTGGTCAGGTTTGACACAATATTTTTAAAACTCTTTAAATCTTTAGCATTTTTTGCTTCTTCTGATAATGAATTCCATAATTCTGATCCATGATAGGTGAAACTTTTCTTTTTGTATTCAGTTCGAGGTTTGCATAGATAAAGTTTGTCTTTAGATCTGGTATTATGTGGGTTTTCTTTAGAACTGAATCTGTTAATAAGATATTGTGGGCTTATATTATTCATAATCTTGTACATTGTAATAGCTTCGTTGTGAAACTGGTTTGTATCAAGCCTGTTCCAGTTTAATTTTTTTTTGAGAGCTGAAGAGCTTGAATCATAACTGGACATCTTTGTAATAATTTTGGCAGCTCTATTTTGTAAAACCTGTAGCTTTTTACTTAAAGTACTATTACACCTTCCCCAGACAACATTACAATACTGGAAGTGTGGGGCAGTAATAGTTTTGTAAAGTGTGCATTGAATGGATTTTGGAACAATTTCACTAGATTTCTTAAGATAAAAAAGGCCTGGTAATATTTTATTTTTAACATGTTCAATTTGTTTTGTCCATGAAAGATGCTCATCAATTACAATACCTAAATGTTTACATTGATGAACTCTTTTTAGGCATGTACCTTCAATTTTCAAACGTAACTCATTTTTTCCAATTTTTGGTGTGTTCCAATTACCATGAATTCTGTTTTATTAATATTTAAGTTTAATTTGTTACAATACAACCAGTTTGCAATGTTGTGGAGATCAATATTAATTTTATCAGACATTTCTTTCACATTATCAGATGCTAAATACAGAGCAGTATCATCCCCATACATGCTAATTTTTACATTTTGTACAATTTTAGAAAGATCATTAATATACAGTAAAAATAACAAAGGCCCTAGGATTGACCCCTGGGGTACTCCACAAACACTATTATCTTTACTGGATGAGACATTATTAACATTAGTAATTTGGATACGGTTTCTTAAGTAGCTTTTAAACCAACTTATGACATTTTTGTCAAGACAAAAATGTTCTAGCTTTATGATAAAAAGCATTATGATAAAAAGAAAAACATCTAAACGTACCACGACGCAAATATAAATAAATTAAAATATATATACACCTTTTTTACTGGATATTTCAATTACACCTTGCCTCAAGGCGTAATTAATCACTCGTAACAAGGCCCAGGTCACAAGTTGACCCTTCAGATTTGTAAACAATGCCGGGTCAGAGTGCACTGGACAAAAAGAAGCTCGCGACCACGCTGCATGATTCTTCGCGTTGTTGCCCAATCTTTCTTTCCACGCTGGTCGTTGTCTTCGTCATTGTTGTACTTTTCTTCGTCGAAAAGCTTGGTTTAGATCGAATACGTCATCGAGAAGCAATGTAAAAGTTGTCAGGATGGTTAGGTCGGCTGGGTTAATCATAATTCGGCATCAATTTGTAAGGATAATCACAAGGAAATGAGTAAATTTTATAAAAAGTAAGCAGAAATAGCGTAAATTCGTGTATGAATTATTGAAATTGCCGCGAAAACATTGCTAATTTGACACGGGCTCGTCAATCAGGTCACAAACTATTCAGAATTCTGACCTTGCAGAAGCTTGTAAAATATGTAACTTTTAGTTACATTTAGCTCCGAGCCTATATAGCAGATTACCCATGTAATTGAGTTTACGTCCGAATCCAACCATAGAAAAACCCTTGAAGAAAACAGATATAGAGAAACTCTTTAGTATCAGTTAACATCGGTGTACGGTAAGAATGGCCCAGAAAAAATGGCCCCGGAAAAAATGGCCCCAATAATTAAATTCTGAATTAAAACTGATTTTCTTGAGTCATTATATGCATTTTTTTTTTTATCTTAACTAATTTAGTTTTTAAAAGGAATCTCCCCAATTATCAAATTCTGTATTAAAACTGATTTTCTTGAGTCAATATATGCATTTTTTTATCTTAAATAATTTAGTTTTTAAAAGGAATTTAACATCAAACAAATTGCCATTTACATTTTACTTTTTTGCAAGAATTAATATTCAATGATAAAATATTCAAAGATAAATAAAAAGCCATGAATTACACTTTTTATTTTTTTTCCATTTAAATGTTAAAAATTAGCAACAACATAATTAATAAATCAACATAAATCATGCATTTATTAATACTAAAGTAATTTACTTGTGGCCGATTTCACGGAAGCGGAATCAGAATTTTCCAGAAATTCAATCTGTGTATTGGTAAACATCAAATTATTGTTATTTTTTTTTTTTAAGAAAAAGAGAGTTCTACAATCATAGTTATATGGTTTAGATGGGGTTTGCAGTGTGTTTAGTGGTTTGTGGTGTATTTGCAAGTATTTTTTCATAAAAAATCTAAATTTTAACCAAAAAATAATTATGAATGTATTTAATTTTCTTATTAATATACCAAGTCAGTCAATCATAATTGAATTGTTTGATTTTCTACAGTGTGTTTTGGGAGGTTTGTGGGATTTAGCAATACCACTTAATCCTACCATAATCACCCTACCCCCACAATCGAATGTAGGTAAGAATGGCCCGGAAAAAAATGGCCCTGGAAAAAATTGCCCCGGAAAAAATGGCCCCATATGACAGGTAGGTAAAAATGGCCCCAATAATTGCCATACATAACTATATATAATTTTAAGCCACTAGTAGGCACTTGGATTTAGTTAGTGATGAGTAAATAAATGTATTCCTAACTATTCAGTTTACTAAAAGCAATACTTCTTTGAATAAACTCTAAGCAGACAATTTATTGCTAAGTTTGCGAGAAAGTAAGCCTCTCCCTTTTCCCATACATGAACTTGTGATTCAAACACACAATTGATCCACATGCTTTAACTACTGTTTATTTCCATTGTTTATAACATGTAAAGTTAATTCATTTGATATTTAACAAAAGTAAAGTTTGTGGTTATCTATGAGTTGCATATTTTGGTAGTTGAAGTACTGTATACTGTATGTCATTCCTCTACTTTGTTAGTGAAATAACGTTTTTAAAACTTTTATTTCTACTATCAAAAAATGTTATTCAATGTTATTCATTGGCCATTGTTTTTCGATTACCTCTCAGAACATTATTTAATTGTTAAAAAACAAATGCTTTTAAAGAAATTTAAAAAAAAACACATATTGATCTCAGTTCAAAGGAAAAAATAAAACTCATTTCTAAATTTACACTTTTCACCTATAAACCTCTTAATTTCACAAAAGAGTAGGTTCTTCCAAACAAATACATCCTGCCTAATACTGTGTGTTTAGATTAGATCTTTTGCTTTAACTTTGGAAACTGAGATCATTTTAGATACTATTTCTGTATAAACTAAATTTTTTTTTTCATATTACTGTAAACTTAATGGGTTTTGATAAATTTACTCTACACTACAGGATTTCCAATAAAAAAAAGAAAATTAATTAAAAAGACCATAGATTAAAAATAAGTAAGGCATAACATATTTTTAATCTATGTTAAAGCATAACTATTTTTACATAATGAAATTTAGTAAATTATTTCAAATCACTTTTTTTCAATAAAATTTCAGATACATATAAAAATATAAATATATAAAAAAAAAATATATATATATAAATAAAAAATACAGTAAAAAAAAAAGAAGAAAAAAAAAGAGAATTGAATAAAAGGAAGAATAAATGAATGAATAAATCTCTCTAGGTTACATCCTTAAAATAAGATGACAAGGGAGTAAAAAATGAACCCCTGGGAACCAACCTCAAAAACGATCAGTTCGACATCATAGCCGGCGTCTGAGAGGTCCGTAACTAGAGGGGAATACTTGTTCAACTTTCTTTTATGAGCAGCATCAATTGAAGTATCAAATGGAATTGTGAGTTCCATGATGGTAAGTTTTCTTAAGTCGGGCCAATAAAGGCAGATATCGGGAAGAAGATTTGTTGGGATGCA